GTTGTACTTGTGGTGAGAGGGTGGGGGTGTGGGGGGGGGGGGGGGGGGGGGGGGGGGGGGGTCGTCAGTGGGCGTCGTTGCACCTGTAACCACACCCACCAGTGATGTCACAGGGTCCTGGAGTACACCTGTACATCACTGCAGCGAGGTGAGAAGCTTAACCACCGGAGGTCAGCAAGGTCAAGAGTTTCAGTGGTTAACTTGTGCTTTATTGCAATATGAACATCTCACCACAAGTAAAAGCTCTGCATTGAAAATGTCTATAAAAGTTATTGTTCTTACAGAAAGTACTCCATGAGGCAGAAAACAGCAGTTATTTTATGTATTGTACTACAAGTAAAAGTGTTCTCAGTCAAAGTATCAGAAGTCCTTTTCGGTGAAGCTAATGCTAAACACTTTGCATACATTTGCTGAGTTAAATCAATAACACAGAATCATATTCACCTGAAAATCAACTTTAGCTTCAAACGTACTAGAGTATGAAGTACAATATTTACCTCTGAAATGTAGTAGAATAAAAGTGTAAGTACAAGTATCTTAAAATTGAACTTAAAGGGTGGTTCCATCTGCGCTCTTTTTCCGAGTTTTTTAAACTCCTGTGTTTCTGCGAGGTAAAAATGACTAATTTAGTCTGGTGGCTTTGAAGAGAGTGATATAACAGCTTCAGTTCCCCGTCAGAAAGCGCTGTGATGGCAAGATAAAGCTGCTGTGGAAAAACATATTGTAGCCTTTAAAAAAAAATAAAAAAAATAAAATCTATATCAGTTTCACTGTGCGCCATGTTTGGAACATTTGAACTGCTTCACCTCACTGTCAGGCAGCCCTTTCTGACGCTGTTATTTCACTCTTTAAAGCCACAAGACCCCATTGACAAAAATAGTAACATTACCGAGCAGAACACGGGAGTTGCTGGTCTACCACTGCCTCTATCGGTCCAAGCGCCATCTACTGCAGGTAATACACTGACTATATATATATAAGCATATAAATACATATATGTAGCACTGTCATCATGCAGAAACCTACATCAGGTCAAAACATTTTTAGAATAGTTTGGAAAAATTGTATTTGGACGCTAAATCATACGTACTTCTACCAAAATGTGAATATGCTCTGAATCAAATACATTAGTACCACCACTGAATGATATAAAAACCGTAAAATAAATAATATTAATGATAATAGAGCCGCTATTTAAGTACACCACTTGAATAAATGTACTTGCATGTAGTCACTTAACCACTGTGTCTTTTTTTT